ATTCTATCTACTGCTCCTAAAAACAATACGTCCGCTTTTAGATCAGGAAATGTGTTATTTGTTTTGCCTATAGTTTGAAGACAGCTGGCCCAGGATAGAGATTCGTCGATCGGGCTCTATCAGAAGGAACCTCACACTGCTCAGCGGTAACAGTGGATTAAGTAAGTAAGTAAGTATATATCTCTATAACTTCAAGTTCGATTTGGCTCCAATTTGGGGGAAATTTAGGGATTGCTAAACGTAAAATGAAATAGGCATAAATATCATCAAATTCTATCTACTACTCCTAAAAACCACACTTCCGCTTTTAGATCAGGAAATGTGTTATCTGATTTGCCTATAGTTAGAAAACGACGCATTCGATGTTACCTAAACTTAAAGGAAATTTGGAGAACAATATAGAATTTACTTAGTATCAATTTCATTGAATTCCATATAATAATTAAAATTAATATGAATAATTGTTAAAAATATAATGGCTCTGAAATATGGAAGGCACTGATCATATGGAGTGGGAGTTAGATTATTAAAATATTGTTATGGGGTTTTAAAACTTTAGGCTTTATTCAAAATATTAATTGATACTGTATTGTTTTGTAGATTCCAAACGTTACTGTCATGACACTTACTGCTAGATTTCGTGCAATTTTCAGTAAATTTAAAGTAATTTTTATTCTGAATTTGTAAAAAAAAAAGTCTTATTTGTAATTGTGTTTATTTCCAATGAAGTTCAATCAGTTCGTCTTGATCTTTATTTCCTCCTTAAATATCGAAGCCGAGTGAACTTCACCCATATTTTTATATTCTAGCTTAATTAATTTTGTTCTGACTGTTGAAAAGTATTGGTCTCGTTAACTCCGAAAAAACAGCAAGCTGAATTTTTCCTATGCATTTTCTAGTTCCATCCACTTTACGAACTGATTATTAAGTATATATCACAACTATTATTGAAAAAGGTCGTATGTAAACATTTTCAACTTTTATTCTATTTGTGCTAAAGGTGACATTTTGTAGTCTGCAACTGATATAAGTAGTCTGCTACTATGTAAAATAGCAGAGGACAATAAAATATGAAATTATACCAATAGAGTATAAATTAATAATGGGTTTTTACGTATGACCTTTTGCAATATCAGTAGTAAAATGGATGTTCAGTATGGATTGGTATTTTTTTTTTTTAATCAAGTGTAATCAATATGGAATCTTCAAATATGGCACTCTTTCGCATTTTAATATTAGGCGATAAACAAAATTCGTGGATATCAAACCCGCGAATGTTGAAGGGTAACTGTATTTCCGAATCGGCTTCTCCCAGAGATTTTATTCTCATACGAAAAATTTTATACCTTGTAATATAGATATATTTTAGCCAATGAAAACGGTGAGAAAGCTATACTGACCTTACTTGGCTGTGGTTTTTTTTTTTTTTTCTTTTCTTTCTTAACCACATTAATATAATACTTTGAACTATTTATTTTACAACTAGTTGATGTATCCGTCGTTAACGGTTGTATAGTTAAAATTTGAGAATCTTTTTTTGACATGGATTTTGTATTGTGGAGGGAGAGATCCTTATTTAATTTCGTCAAATTGGCTGGGGGAGAGGATTGTTTATATGGGGACTTATGGAAGTCAAGGTTTCACAATATTCACAATATAAACTTTTTTATTAGGCTATTTGTTTAGAGATCCCTTTAATATAATCAATTTAGAGATAATTTTAATTTGTCTAGAGATTCCAGTTAGACATTCACTTATTTCGATTCTCATCCCAACCTACTCTACTGCCAACCACATTTAAAAGTTGTACTATTCAACTGATAGAAAAAATTATCACAACTCAACGGGAAAAATCCGAAATCCCGAACATCTACAACGCGTTGTCGCTTAAAACACGGGCAAAACACTCATTTTTCAACTTTGTCCGATCTTCCCGTTCAAGATGTGATTCGATTCAACTTTCTGACCCTAAAAAATGTCGTTTACATTTTTAGGATTAGCCAAACGGATTAACCCGAGATCGGAAAAAAAATTTCACCCCACTCGCCACAATATTTAGATCAATTTCTAATTTTACACGAATGTAGGTGACTCAATGTCCAATGCTATTTTGGTTATTTTGCCAGCTATAAACTCAGCAGAGTTTAAAGAAACGGAGAAATTGCAAATCTTTTTGATTATTTTAATCGACTCCACAATCTCCTCGCGTCATTTTAAATAAATAAGAAAAACTTAAACAATTTTAATGGATCGGTGGTGGTCGGTTTAGTTGTGTGGTAAGTAAACAAATAGCCGAATAACAAAGTTTTTATTATGACTATTGCGAAACCTTGACTTTCATAAGCTCCACCATAAAAAATTTCAAAGAAAAAAAACCCACCCAATTTTATAAAATTAAATTTGGATCCTCCCCTCCTCCCCCCATAATACAAAATCCATCCCAAAAAAAGATTTTCAAATTTTAACTATAAACCCGTCATAGGCGTTTACCCACCAAGTTATGACAAAAATGCTTATACCAAACACAAGTTAAGCAACGACTTAAGGGAAGTCTTCCAAAAAATTCCGATAAGGAAGAAAATATTTCTGCTAGGTGACATGAATGCACGGGTTTGTAAAGATTACAACAGTTAAGTGATTGGGAAATTTGGTGAATCAGTAATAAATGACAAAGGAAAAAGACTAATTGAGATTTGTGAACAACAGGACTTAAAGGTAAATGACACCTTTTTTGAACATAAAGACATTCACAAATTCACGTGGCGTAATGACAACAGAAGACGTAAGTCAATGATAGATTATGTAATTACAAAGCAAAATAGTTCTATCAAGACACAAGAATATACATTTGTGCTGAATGTGGTTCGGACCATTACCTTCTGAAATCCCTTTGTACTTTCCCGTGGATAAATCTATGCAAATAAATTAATAGAAATCAAATTGGGAATTCAGACAAACTGATGGTGGATCGATATAAGGTGGAATTGCTACATGAAGAAAGTATTAGTAAGAAAGAAACATTATACCAGAAGATAATAGGAGAAGCAAGCTTACCTCAAGTGGCTAAGGAATGACAAGGACAGAGACAAGTATAAAAAGGAAAATAAGGAACTGATTAAAGCCACAAGAAGAGCCAAAAATGAATGGTGGGAAAGGACATGTGCAAACATAAATAGTAGATTGGGATTTGGACAAGCAGCTGAAGCGTGGTCAGCACTAAGAGGATTGAGAAAAGAAAAAAAACAACAAACAAAATTAAATTTAATACAAATGGAGGATTGATCTCATTGCTTTATAATAATATTAAATGAGTAGGTAGATGAATTTAGGGAAAGAGAAGGAGATCTTTTCACTGGTACTTCTCTATCTATTACACAAGAGGAACTGGGTATAGAAATCAAGAAGTTGAATAATGGGAAAGCCTCTGGCCCAGGAGGTGTGAGCAAATTGAATATGGTGGTAGTGAAGTTGCTCAGCAATTAATAGACTGTATTAATGCAATTCTAAAGGGAGACCCTATGCCAAAAGAGATGAAGCTAGGCTTTATCATTCAAGAAAGTAGACAGAAAGGAAAGGGGTAACTGTAGATGAATGTGTGACAAATCCAATAATGAAGCTGCTTGGCAGAATAATAAAAAACATGCTAAAGAATTATTTTGCTCAGTCCAAAGAACAGTGTGGCCTTACTCTAGGAGGGTCCTGCATTGACCATATATTTACTCTCAGAAAGATTTTAGAAAAGCAAGCTGAAAAATCAAAGAGACTAGTAGATATGATCTTTATAGTTCTTGAAAAAGCATACAATAGAGTCCCATGGAAATTACTTTGGAAATGCTATTGGATACTCAGCAAAATTCTTCTAAATTGAAATGTATTCCGAGAAATCAAAATAAGAACATATAAGACCGTCGTCCTCCAGCCAAAAGTGATATATACCAGTGAGGTATGGACCCTTATGAAGGGTCAGGAAAATTTCCTCAATACATGGGAGAGTAAAATCTTGAAAAAAATATATGGTCCTAACAAAGTTGAAAATGGATACATAGTAAAAACAAACAGAGAACTTAGTGACCTGTATGGTGACCCAGATTTAGTTTCATGTATCAAAAAGGGAAACATAAGATGGTTTGGACATGTATATTGAATGGATCAAGAAAGACTTCCAAGGAAGATAATAGAGGAACGCCTGGATGGTAAACCCAGGCTACAGTTATTGGAAATGTTAAGGCTGACCTACAGCTTTTGGCAGTGATAGAATGGAGAAAAGCTATGGAGGAAGGATCGCTCCGAGTAAAATAGAAATGTTGACGAGCGCCATCAAAGTTAGAGTTTATGTAAGAAATGGGGTTTGTGTTATTTAAATGGTCTTAATGAGTTTTTACAGGTTAACTCTGTGGTTTTAAGGTTTAGCTTCATTAATAATGCACTTCAAAAACTTTTTAATTGCCTAAATATGGCAGAAAATAATTTATGTTCAACGTAGAATGGTAAGCTTAAGTTCATGATGCACCACCAGATTTTGTTCTATACATCATTAAATTATAAGTTTAATTTGTCATTTTAAACAACACACACATTTTCTAAAGTATTATGCAGATATTTCAGTAGAAAGCTATTATTTTTTGGTCAGTTTTAGGTATCTGGAAAACTATGTATCCTGAACCATTCAAAATGCTCATTAGAAATTAATTCAATTGAAAAAAAATCTTAATCATGCTAATATTAGTAAACAATTTCTAGATTGGTATTTCACCCAAAAGGGTGAGGAAAGTCGTGTAATGGGATGCACAAGACATTTTTATACATAACTATTTAGAAATAATAAACCATTATCTAAATAATTTACAGTGTTTTCCAATATATATTAATGCAGTGGTTTCCTATTTAATTATTCAGTCCTAACTTTTACACAGTGTAGTTAATTTTTTCATGGGAAATTTTATTACTACATTTGTAACAATTAACTTGTAATGGTTGGATCTATAAAAATGAAAAATAAAATAAAACAATTTAGAATATTAATTTATTTTTTATAAATATTTACATTACTGGCATTGGTACAAATTTAGTTATGAACCATTATGGTTTAAAATTTTACCACTCATCAATTTATGATCCTGTTAATATTTTTCTTACAGAGTTTTCTTGCTTTAAATGCTGTTTAAATTTATTCGTGCTGTTGCTGGAAGTGGCTGTTCTTTTCATTATTTAATAACACACTTAACAGCTAGATTCTTACGATTAATAAAATAAATATAATCACTCTTGTATTGCTGAATATAAATTGATTTGTAAAAAAAAAAAAATAATTACAGTTTAATTACATCATGGCAGTTTAAACAAATTAACTATTTAATAATATAATTGTTACCATAACAGGTATTATTTTTTTGCCTCTGTAAATATTTTTTCAAAAATATATTTACAAATTTGATACAAAGATTTTTTTTAACTACTTAAAATTAAAAATATACACTTTTCACATCTGAAACATGAATTTTAAAACCTGTCATCTCAAAAAAGTTCGAATAGAAACACCTTCGAAAGTAGTGTTACAATATTTAAATCACAATATCTACTTCATTATAATATTCACATAACTTTGGTACCTCCTCTTTCAACTTCATACATGTTTGTAAGACTGTCCATTTTAGGTACATAATATTAACAGTGCCTCTGTCCAAGGAAGGTCTTTAGTTAATGATTGAACAACTTCTGATCAGCGAGAAGGAGGAGGTGCTTGTGTGTGTTGTGTACATCCTTCAACATTTTCTGGCCAGTCACATACATTTTCATTTGGATTAAATACTAAATTTGAAGGACAAGGCATGTGATGTTTTCTTTCTCCTTCACACATGTAGTACATTGTACAGTCGGCTTTGTCGGGATGATATGAGATATGTCCATCCTCTTCTTCACATGTCACAGCATTAGCTACAACATAAATTAGTGTAAATTATTTTTCACATAAAAAGGTCAAATAACTTTCCAATTTAGTTTTCAAAACTTACGGTCTTTGGTAGTGTAAGCACCACTACTTGAAGGCCCTTCATATGGTCCTTGGTATTCTAATTTAATTGCATATTCTTCAAGTTCAGCCTTCATTGCATTGACAAGAGGAAATTTACCATTACCACAAACACCCCTGAAGTCATCCATGTCAATAGACCAAATCATAATGCCTCCAAAACCTTCTTCTTTTAACCAACCCATCTAAAAGATCGTAATCATATTTTTATCAAGATATATATATACAATACTTATAAATTTTCAAGTAAATTAATGATGTTTAAAAGATCAAATGTAAATTTAATGTTATACTTAATGATTAGTAGCTATTCTCCATGATTTTTTTTTTTGTTGTATATTATTAATTTTATTCAAACCTATATTATATATCATCACAAATAGAACTAATTTATACCAAAATGTGAATAAATTTAAGGTCACTTTGAAATAATAAAATAAAAAGTTTGAGAAATATTAGCAACATAACAGCAACTTGGCACAATGTATACCAATTTTATTTAAGTGCCAACTTAAAGTTACATTTTAGCCAATTCAACATAACTTATTGTATGGGTTTCTGTTTATTTAGATATTAAAATTACTATATCTGGACTGTATTAAAACGAATAAGAGTAGAAATATAAAGGTAAAGGGAGCTTATATAAAAGTTTCCAGAACAAGTAAATTTAAGACAAATTGGAACAGAACTAATAAACTAATGATTATTTTTTTTACCTTTGTTTTAAGGCTTCTTTCATCATCAAAACCAACCCATTGGTTTCCTCGATAAGCAAAAGGAACTTGTTGTTCATTGTCCCAAACTAGAGTGGTGTTATCTTCATGCAAAAAGTCACAAACCTGAGAATAGTTTAAAAATTAAAACTTTACAAAAATTAATATTTATTTCTAACATACAAAATGTGAAAAAAATGAAATCTAATTAATATTCAACATAATAAGTTGACAGTAGCTAAATTGCCTGATACTTTTGGGTGTGGAATTCACCCTTGTTTTAGAGAACTGAGGCAAGGAAGGATCATTCACTCCCCCTCCCCCTTTTGTGAAAACAACCTGAGGGAATGCATTTGGACATCAAATGATTTAAAGGTGATAAAGATGAACCTACCTCAGATGACAAAGAAGCATGTTGCAGTTTTGTTAAGGTGTACATTATAAGGTATAATTTATGACAAGGTATAAAGGTATTAATTAGATAAGATAGGTATTTATAAGATTGAGAATGACGTAAGGAAGTGGGGACCCCATGACACAGCCATCAGGCTGCAGTGAGCCACTTGTCTTCCAAGTAGGTGGAACACCTAAACTAAACACACACACTACTCTAGATTCAATACCCTAAACACATTGCATATTTATAGATAAAGATCATTATCAATTTATAACCAAGGGTCATCTTCTCTTGGTAGTCGCCACAGAGAGGGAAGCAGGTTAGGATGCTCTATCTAAGGTGGCAACTGATCTGACTTGGGGCACTGGGCCAATTATCCACTTCTCTCAAACAAACTATATAGTGAAACATACTTCAAGCCTCAGTACTGAACAGATATATGGAAAAAAAAAATCAGAAGCAAATAGGCTAGTAATTATACACACATATGAAATCTAATGGAGATGGGTAAGAGTTGGATGCTGGAAGATTAGCCAGACAGGTAAAATATGCATATAGTTGTGTTGGAGCAGATTAGACCAAGAAAGACTATAATAGTCAAACTCAACCTTTATATCCTTTTCAATAGTAAACATGAAGCCAATATTGTTGAGGCAGGATTCATAGTAAAAAAGAAACTTGATCATTTGACCCTAGATAGAAATAGAGTAAATGAAAGAATTTGAGGCTGAAAGTGAAATTCTTCAATGTCTCCCTAATAAGTATTCATGTTTCAACTAAATATAAATAAGAGTTTATAACATGCTAGAAAGAACTCTTGATTAAATTTATAATTATGATGTTAAAATACTCTTTAGAGATTTCAATAGCAAGGCACATGTAGCAACAAATATCTGTTCTTTACACCATACCGGTTTTATGATATGCCTTTAGTAAGAATAACATTTTAAAATACAAATCAATTTTAATTTTGATAATTCAAGTATTAATTCATCAAAAAACTAAGTGTAAAGTCAAATTCAATAAAAATAGAATAGTTAGATAACAATTATAACATAAGAATTGGATAATGATAAATATCTTAATAACAGTAACAACAATAAAAGGCTTAGTAAACCTGAAGGTTTGGTGCCAACACCACCAATCACTGTCTACACAGCTCCCCCTCTACTAGTCACCATCCAAACCCAACCCCACCAGATCAGCCTTAAGGCAATCTTTCCACCTTCGCTTCAGTCTACCCCTTGAACATTTACCTGGTGGAACAGTGATTATTAATCTTTTAGGAAATCTTTTGTAACCAAGCCCAACAATTTTACATGCCCATTTTATTTTTCTACAATGTAATTGCCTCAATTATATTAACATTTCTCTTAATTCGTGGTTGTGTAACTGTCTAAATTCTTAGGTTAACTCATCTTCTTTGGTTCGAATATTCTACGCAACACTGTATTTTCAAAAATCTTAAGATGCTTCTTCTTCTTCTTCTCTGACTCTCCAGTCCAAGATGAACTTCGGCCTCTCCAACAATGTTTCGTTATCCTTCTTTGTCCATGACGTGTTTTTTTATTTTAGTGATTTTTATAGATTTAATGAACCTTAGAATATCTTCATGCTGTATCAGGTCATCCAATCCTTGATTACACCTAATGCGCCATATATCTTGTTCATTTATTGGACATCTCATTTTCCTTTTGAATATTCTAAGGGCTTGCTGGTCGGTGTCCACGTCCACGTCTCTGCGCCATAGCACACAATGGACCTGATAAGGGCCTTATATAATCAACTTAGAGAGACCATAATAAGCTTTGTTGCCACACATTATTCTTTTCATAATCTCGTCACTCACCCTAACCACAGTGTTTATTTGAGTGCCAAGATACGTGAAGCGGTCAACAGTTTCGAATTTATAGCCTCATATCTAAAATCTTGCTTTCTTCTTCTTGCCTCAGAGCTTGTTGCTACCATGTGTTTAGTTTTAGATTTGTTTATCTCAAGACCCATGATTTTACTTTTTGCACAATCTTTGCCAGAATTTCTTTCAATGCTTACTCACTTCTTGCCAGAACGACAATGTCATCTGCGTGCCCAAGTATTTTACATAAGCGTGATAATAGACTGCCAGCAGACACGATATTTTGTAGTCGTTTATGAAGCTCAATATTAATTAAAACAGCAGAGAGGGGGTCTCCCTGCCTTACATCAGAGGAAAAATGTATTTTCCTGCTAACTCTATTGCCAATGATTACACTAGCCTGTTTCTGGGACATTTTCATTTTTATTAAATTTATTAATTTAAACGAAACTTTAAATTCTTTTAGGGAATCAAACAGTTGAACTCTATCTAGATGATCTTAAGGTGCTAATCATCCTTTTATGTAAAGGGCCATGGTTTTGTATTCATAAAGAACCTTAGGTAGGATAATACTTTTGTAAATTCTAATTTTTGAGTTTCAGGACAGGTGGCACGAGCTAAGTAGTTTTGTCAAAAATAAATAACAAGCATTACCCTCCCACAACCTTAACTTAATCTTATTTTCAATTTAATTTTTTCTAGTTATTGTAGATCCTAGATACCTAAAGTTTTCTACATGTTGAAACATACTCCCTTCTATTTTGATATCACCTAAAATGTCACTTTTTTTGCTTCTAACCATATATTTTGTCTTATCCGTATTTGCAAAGATCTTAATTCTAACCAAAAAATACTTGTTACTTTAAACTCTATATTTTAAAATTTTACCTCATAATATGCCATAAAACCACTTTCAGCTGTATAGTTTCCTGGTTTTCCACCACCAGAAGCTGGAGCACCAATATCAAATTTTTCTTCATCAACTAAAGTAAAGCTTCTTCCGTAAGTGGGCATTCCTATCATCAACTTTTCTTTTGGTGCTCCTTGCTTAACCCATTCTCTAGCACTGTAATCCTACATTAATAATACAAAAAATAAAGTAAATAAATTGTGGATAAATTTCACCAAAATTTATAAACATCCCCTGTTTCACACTCACCACTGTCAATTTCTTTTGATAACTTGTAGCACTCTCAAGCGGGTAAAGAGGTGAATTGTGTCCAACTTGTCTTTCCCATTGTCCATGGAAATCATAAGTCATGACATTTATGAAATCAAGATATTTTGCTATTTCTGGTACATCATAGCTATGGGACAAAATAAATAGTTGATATACGATATTTTAGAGAGTATATTAATTATTTGTAATTATTTAATTTAATCTTATGACCAATTTGTAAAATTTATACTTTAATGTTATATTATTCAAAACTTAAATGCACAATGGTATTTTTATAAAATCTTTGAATCTTATCATTCAAAACCTTTGTTGATATAATAAGCTTAAGACAAATGATTAGAATTTGTACAATGGTATAGTGCGGCCACTGTTTTTTCTGGGAAGGTTGTTTTTTTTTTTTTCAATAACCAGATGCAAGGAACACAATATGCAATTTATATGGATGTGGAAGGAGAGAGATCTAGCTCATAGAATATTTCATTGAGGATGTTAATACTGAAACAAAACTTGTTTTGTTATAAGGTATGGCAGTATTAAGATATTTTATAGAAAAATAGAAGATATCTTAGCCAACAATTTTTAAGAAAATGAAAAAACAAAACAAGAAAAGTTTGAAGATAATATCAATTTATGAGTAATACTTGTTTATGGTCTAAATATATATACTTTTAGCTTTGAATTAAATTTATGAAGTGATAATTCATTTACGTTTGTTTTTGTTTTATTTTGTATTTTTTTTTCCCTTACCCAGCAGCGATAGCTTCAAAACTGGCAGGAACAGCAGCAGTTAGAAGAAGTCTTGGTTGTCCAGATGTTTTTGCTTCTCCTTCAAAAGCTGTCCTTAACTCTCTCAATAAACTAACATATGATGCGCGATCATCAACTCCCCTAAAATAAATCAGCTATAAAAAAAAAAATTACTTTATAATTGTAATAAAATAAAAGCTAAATGATCTAATACCTTGGGTATTCCCAATCAACATCTAAACCATTGAATTTGTATTCTCTGAGGAACTCGATAGCTTCATAAACAAACTGATTCATTCGGTATACATTACTAGTCAATTCTTTGAAAGGTGTTGAACCAAAGGCCCATCCTCCTATTGCAAGAAGTATCTGTAAAATAAGCAAAAGGAACATTTAAAACCACTAAATTTATTAATTCACAAAACTTATTGACATTAAACTATGCTTAACATCATTAAGCATTAATATTTTATTGAAATTACGGCGACAAAAGAACTATACTAAATGAAATAAGAATACAGATTCAGTTAAATATATTTAAAAATTTTAACTAAAATATTATTCCAATAACAAAAATTACCCGAATAAAAATTATATCATTCATCGTAAATATTATTAAGCATTATTTGATAAATGAAATCAACAAAGTGAATATAAAATAAATGTTTTAGTCAAAAATAAATTTATTTTTGTCAATTACATTTTTGAACAGTCATTTGTATCAAAACTTGATCATATCAATGATGATATCAATATTGATTCTGTCTTACTTAAAAATGTAACCTATTCCTGAATCTGATGTAATAATAATCTGGCCAGCCAGATGCCAGCAGCATATTAGTTATTATTTATATAATTCAGGCACCACAATACATATTTAAATGAAATTATATTAGAAATGTTCAGTCCTAAGATATTAACTCAAATCTATAATTTTTATACAGAATTAATGGAGCTAAGAGAAGAGAGGCAAAAGTCTCACTGTTTTGCACAACTTGTATCAAATTTTTTACTCTTTGCTCTAGCACTTAGAAAAGAGAATGGAAAACTAACAAACAATAAATTTAAATATTATTATTTGTCTACCCAATAACCTAACAAACAAATCAATTATCACAAGTTTAACTAACCCAGCCAAGTTGGTTAGGACTTGTCATCTTGAACCACAACTTAAAATTTCATGATTACTCGCCATGTTGCACAATCTGATTTGTGCAGCATGCTCTGTGACATCAGCTGATTCTGAGAATTTTTCATAATGACAGTATATCTGCAAAAGCTCCTAAATACTTCCGGTATTATTTTTCAGTTAACAAACTCACCTCCCAAAAAAACAAATTTACCCCTTTGGAACCTTTTAAACTTAAAAGGTCATTATAACTAGTCATAGGAAAATTACAATCTTATAAGTAAAAATGCAAGACTCAATTTTAAACCTTTCATTTTGATGTTGAAAAACCTATATTTTAATACAAATGTGAATTGAAGTTTTTTTAAAAGGAAATAATTAACCTTTTCGTATCATCCATTTATCCATATGTCATGAAAACAATGTTTCGAGCCCCATTGGCTCACTATCAAGTTATATAAAATTCTTCACATTTCCTTTCCTCATTCAATTATGACTTGTTAATCAAATATTTTTTGATAGTCCTACCATAAAACACAATTCATGTCATAGTACATTTTTCCTCAGCATTTAATAAAATGCTTGCCAATTAAGTTAAGTAATATGCCAGGCAGTCTTTCTCCTTTTATTGCTTAAAATGGACTGTCTTAATAATGAAACAACAGAGCTTGAACCATTGTTTTATCTGTATTAGATCTATAAATAAATGGATGATGGGAAAAAGATTCGATATTATCTTTTAAAAAAAGCATTATATGATAATCTAAGGAAGTAACCTTGAAAAATAGTACTGTAGTTAGTAACTAAATATATATGTGACTTACAAGGTTTTGCAGATATACTTTTGATATGCTATTCTGACAAGTAGTTTAGACAGTTTTAACATGTATAAACAAAAGGGCTAATTTATGTAACAAAATAAACATTAAAGACATAAACGTAACTATTCATCTCTACACCAGTCTTATTACCCACAGGTTTGCTTTATGCTAGGTTTAGATATTTAAATATAGGGGCTTGCTGCTCCATAAGTATCAGAATGCATTTACAAAAATTAGCTTCTTCTACTTACTTTCAGATTAGGGTTGTTATCCCTTAGAGAAACAACTTTATGGTATTGGTCTTCAGTTCCTGTAGCTGCTGCTAATTTGTGATCAGTGAGAGTAGCAAATGCATATATAACATGCGTACAGAGATTAGGCTGAAGGTCTGAGGGAGAAAATCTACCGGCACCTGGTCTTTTTGCTGACCATGATGTAAGATAACAGAACACTTGTGCTTCTCTAGCTACAATCATTATCATATAATTAAAATAGATGAACTTTAACTAATTTTATAAATTTAATCAGCGATTAAAATAATTACTGTTTGTATCTTGAATTGGAACAATTGAATTTGAGACTGTAGGTTTTGCTTTGTTCAGTTTTGAGAGAAGTTCTGTTACTGGTATTTTTATTGCTTGTGGTTTGACAGCTTGTACAATTTTTGATGGAGCAACTTTTTCCCAATCTACATCTTGAGCGTTTGGACCTCTTTTTATACCTCTCAGTTCTTCTCTGAAATCAAATTAAGGAGATGTATAGTAATGGGATATGAATTATTTAATTTAAAAATAAAAATTGATTCTTAATACCTAATAGCTCCTATTAATGGATATTTTACATTATTTCCACAAACAGTTCCTGTAAAATCATCCATATCAATGGTCCAAACCATAGCTCCACCGTATCCACTTTCTTTAAGCCATTTCATTTTGTAACGTATAGATTTTTCATCATCAAAACCTATCCATTGGTCTCCCTAAAACACAATTTCACAAACCACAATTTTAAAATATGAATCTGATATAACTTGTTCTAATAAAATAAAAAAATAACATACTTGTAGGCAATAAGGTACTTTCATTTCATCATCCCAAATATAAGCAGCACCATTTCTCAGCATTTCACAAATCTAAACATTATTAAATAATAAATAATTTAAAGAATAATAAAATAACACATATTAAATATTTATTGGTTCACATCATTTACCTCATAATATGCCAAAAACCCAGCTTCCTTTGTATATTCTCCAGCTTTACCTCCACCTGAAGCTGGTGAGTTAACTGTATTCTTTGGGGTAGAGATTGTAAAGGATCTACCATAGGTAGGCATACCTAATGAGGAAAAGTAATGAAATTTATCACTGAGAATCATGTAATTAAATCAGTGAAATTGAAATAAACATGAATCTTAAAAATTATAATTAAAAAATTAACATTCTTTAATAAGATACAAATAATAGAAGTCAAGTAACCTATAATTAGCTTTTCTTTAGGTGCTCCAAGTCGAGTCCAGAGCTCTGCAGCTGCAGAAACTGACAGCTGTTTTCTCCATTCTGAGTCAGATGATGGCGAATATAAAGGAGCATTATGTCCTGTTTCCCTTTCCCATTTACCATGAAAGTCGTAGGCCATAAGATTTATGAAATCTAAGTATCTATAACAGTGGAATTGATAATGCAATAAATAAATATGAATACATTTTACACGAGTTGAATTGAAAAAATCAAAATTTGAAATAAATTAGCTAATATTACTTAAAATAGGTCCACATATAATATTGTGAAACATCATTGTATATGTTTATAATGAATATTCTTCTCCTACTCCTATAAGAATAACCAGTCACTGAATAGAAAGGAGATGGATGACAGGTAGGTGACACATGAACAAGGTAATTTTAACTTATTTGAATCATTTAATAGGAAAGAATTGAGTAATAATAATGTTGTAAAATAATTAAAGGTGGACATGACCAGAAAAAGGAATTTTATTATGAGTAGACGCATGCAATTCGCATAAGTGAAATGGACAGGTACATGATGGGTATTTTAGGTATATGAAAAGAATTTTTATATTTTGAAATATGTTAAAGTTAATATATGATTGTAAATTGAAAATTTTTTTTAGATTTGAAAATGGCTCGACGAGAAAATGGAGTGATTTATAGTAATTAAGATGACAAAATTTTGAAAATTGGTGTAAATTTGGCTGATAATAAATAAACTTTAAAATAAATAGTATGCACCGAAGAAGAAGTGAGAAACATCGTGAAAGAGCAATAAATAAATTAATATTACAAGATATTTGAAGAAATGTTAAACAGGATGTGTAATACTACTTCTAAATGTTAATGTTTTCTTAGATTATATTGTCTCCAGTTATCCTGAACAAATATATTTATAATTGTTATAATATTCATTAACAAATTAAATCATAAATACCTATTATGCATAGTTAGTTAATTGCTTAATGGGTTAATGAAACTGTTAGACATTTTTCAAGATTTTGCCGTTGACTTCGACATTTCTAAATTATTATTTATTTATTCATATTTAATTTTTATCTCAAATGAGTAAATTTATATAAAATTGTTTAGCTAAAATAGGATGTAATCTCTTTGTTTGTATGTTAAGAAAAATAATTTGTTTTTAGCATTTACCCTGCTACTGCTGGTACATCATAACCTCCACGCACATTGTCAGGACCAACAGGAACAGCAGCGGAGAGTAAGAGTCGAGGTTTTTTCACTTCTTGAGCTTCAGCTTCAAAAGCTTCCCTCAATTCTAAAACAAATAAAAACCTTTATTTACATATTGTGCTATCAGAAATAATTTGAAAATCAAGAACTATTTTTTTCTGGTTTCCTAATTGACTAATAATTCTTATTATTGCAGTATATAACAATGAATAACAAACTTATTAGGATTAGAATTAAAATGAGAAAATAACATTGTATTTTTTCTTCTTTAGGCAAAATTTGAATTAGAACAGAGGTATTTTTTTTATTTGAGATAATTTTCTAATTTGATGCGGTATTGACCTAATAATATATTAATTGAACAGTTTATAATAATTTCTAATGGGGTTCATATCTGGTATAAATGACTCATTTGTCTTAGATACAGCTTGTTTCTTTAAACATTAGCAAAAAGACATATAATTTGCCCTTATAATCTCTATCTCAAGATATCTACTATATTTTTCAAATAGATTCTACAATGGAACAGGAAATCAGCATGGTGGAAACAGAAACAGATGTTAATTCAGTCACAGCTTCTGAAAATTTTATTTTATTTAGTGAGAGACAGAATAAATCTATAGCGGGCAACACTCGTTAATAAGAAGTCTGAATGGTTGGTAATTCTTATTGAATGACATTTACATTGATTAAATTTAATAATACAGATAGTTTGACTGAATTAGTTAGAAAAAAATGTAACACAAAATTCATTTAAAGCAAGAACCAATCACAATCATAATAATAAATAATAGCATGGTACACGATTGAAGATGTTAAATTATTACTTTTACAAGGTATAATATGTAGGTATCAATAATAGATAGGACTGATGCATATGTTGTAGGCATCTAGGATAAGATTTTTACCATGCATCTCCTCTCATTATCCTAAATTGGCCAGGTTTCACTGAAAAATTTTCTTATGTTTGTGAGTTTTATACCCATGAATTTCCATCAATGGTCGATGAATCTTGAATCTCTTGCTGGCTTGTTATAATCTTAATTTAAAAAAAAAACAAATTAAAATTGCTCTTCCACCCAGGACAAATGTTCACATGCTTAATTTCTGAATGAAATTTCAAAATGCTATATAAGGAAAAATTATGAATAAATCCTTGCCTTCCAGGTAAAAATATAAAATCTGCCCCCATCTCTTCCCATTCCCAGTTCATAAGAATTTGTTTGTCATTTGAAAAGAGTTTTTAGACAGTTCATTAGAAAAATCTTATCGCAAGAAGTAAACATTACCTTTTAAGAGAAGGACAAAGTTTTTCTTATCATCTCCTCCTTTAGGATATTCCCAATCAATATCAAGACCATCAAAACTCCTTCCTCTGAGAAATGGAATCGCACTATAGATAAAGGTTTGCCTTGAGTATCTTGTAGCAGACATATCCTTAAATTTTTGGGTACCAAAGGACCAGCCACCTGTTAGGAGCAAAAAGTTATTTTAATAATTTCAACTATAGTAATAAAATGAATGTTCAAGATTCTTAAACTCTCTAATTAATTAAACATTGTCTTGTCAATTTCAATATTGATAAAAGCAGTAAACCGATTTAGCATATGTAATATTTTAAAAGATCTTTGGGGACTTTTTACAATGCACTTCTGTATTCATATTTTTTACGCACCGATGGCCAAAAGTGTTTTTAATTTAGGGTTGGCTTTTTTAAGATTTCTTATTCTTTCATATAAACCAATTTTTCCATCCTTAGTCTCGTCGTTGGACTCAAATGATGAAAGTTTTCCTTTCTTCAACCACCCAAAGGCAAAAATGATGTGAGTACAAAGGTCTGGGTCAATATCCTCTGGAAGGAATTTACCAATTTTAGGACGGTACTGGGACCAGTTTGTATAATAGCAAACCACCTGTTAACAAATATAATAAAATTACAATAAGTAATTAATATTTAATTCAATAACTAACTAGTAAATCTCAGGAATGTTAACTACGGTGGCATACCTTGTATCCATCTTTAGAGTCTTTTGAAGAAGTGGATGATCCTTCATTACTGGACTTTCTGGAAATTACTGGAGTTGAATTCTGTGAAATGCGATTTCGAACTTTAAATCTATTCACACTTGCACTGGTTTCTTGATCTCGTACTCTGCTTGCTCCACTTGGCCTTCTCAATCTTCGCCTAACAGCTAAAAAAGAAAATAGGCAAATGTTATTCCTCTGATAGACCAACTTATTTTAAGAGAGGTTCAATAAAAGTATAGTATAAAAGTATAAAAACTGAGCAATTTTGAAAATGGAAGAATAGTGAAGGAGTAAATAGAAAGCTAAGAACATTAAAAAGATTTTTAAGCATTATTAAAACTTTTTTGTCTTAATTAAAAAACATTTCTTTCATAGACCATAGTTCTGTCCCTACATTTATTACACTAGGGGTTTCCAACATAAGGGCCTCCTCAAAGTCATATAGACAAAGACCTAAATATTATACTAATGTACCAGTATCATTAATTAAAATTAAAATTTGTGGTTTTAATATGCTTATTAATTATCAATTTTCCTAACTGGTCTTTAAGTGCATACATTTTATTATTTATTTATTTTTTTTATAATTTACAAACATTTTCAATATCAATTCAATAATGAAATCAAAATAAACTATGGTGGAATGGATTAGAGGTGCTAAACAGATAAATATGGCCTGTGTGCATAGTTTTAAGACCTTAATGCTATGATACAGCACCTCTCAAATTATAAATTGGCACCTTTTTTTATTTCATTTGGAAGTCTCCAGTATTGAAAAATGGTCAAAGTTAGGTGGTATACAGCAATTGAATAATTTTTTTCACAAAAAGTTGTGTAAAGTAAATAAAATATTCACTTATATGCAAAACAGAGAATAAAAACTAAATTTGTATGATGTCTGTACAGCAAATTGATTATTAACTAATTATTCTAAATGGTGACTAAATAAGCCTTATGTATAAGCCTTAGTTTGCGATGAAAAAGCTGTTATTTTTTTTCCCACATATAAGGCATACATTTATCCATTTAAGAAGATTTATATGGTTTGTAGGATACTGATCTGATCTGGCATTTTTCTAAAGGTTTTAAGCTCATTGATTTTTCCCGATTTGAATATGCAATTTTCAGAGAGAATAATTCATTTGACAGAGTTCATATTTGAACAACATAAATATATTTATTTGTTACATATTTCTGTATAAACTGACAGTAATAAACAAATTATATATTTTAGAATGCAGTAGTGGCATTTACATAGGTGAATATTGAATATAAAATTAATTAATCTGATTTAATTGTTTAATAAAGATTGGCTTGCTCAGATGTCTTTACATGACTAGGAGAGCAGGTTGCTTTTAACCCTTTGGTCTATTACATGTATATTACTCTTCCATAAGAGGCAAAGTAGATTATTGTTTAGGAATATACAATACTATGTCACTAGCGGATCCAGGATTTAATTTGGGGGGCTTCAGCCCAAAAGCTTTTTTTTTCATAAAAATAACGACAATTACTTTGGAAAAAAAGAAAGAAACTAACTACCTATATGAAATGGTGTTTAAGTAATTTGTGAAATCCTTTTAAATGTAATTACATGAACAATAATACTTTAAGAGATAATTTTTTAATATTTTCTTTCCAAAAAACATGTTTATATTTTACCATTTCGGAGAGAGGGGAGGAGTTTCAGCCCCAAAGCCCTCTCTGTAGATCCGCCCGTGTACTGTGTTCAAGATGCAATTGGGGATGTATATAATAGTGCTTTAAGAATTCGTACTGGAGCATTGTCAACCTCCCCATTTGAAAATCTGGGAGTTGGTGAACATCCCCTCTATTTAAGAAAGTTATTTTGGTTGATGAATACAACTTGAGTAAAATGCTATACCTATATTGTTAATCTCTAGAGAGGAAACAGGCAATAGAACTAAAAATGAGAAAAACTTTGTAGAGGTATTCCCTCGAGACCATTGGAAATCCATAAATCAGATTTACTAGATGAAATAATTCTCCAATGGAATCATGCCATACTAGTTATAGTAGAACCGATTGCTAGTTGCGAAAACAGAAATGACACTCTCATCTGAATATCATGAACTATGTCATACATTTTTAAAAAACACATAAAATATCGCATGACAATAAATAAAATAAAAAATACACACACATAAAATATTAAAAATTTAGCTCGAATATTTGTCAGCATTTACTTACTGTTAGTTGATGATTCTGAGTATGTTTCTGTCAACAGCGCGCATAGTAGGAGTAGACAGAATAATCTGCTTAATCCTATTCTCCATTCCTGTAAGAAAAATGGAATATAAGAAAACAAATTATATGAAATAAAGAAGAGTTATATGGTCAGAATATTGATACAGTAAATGGGCATGAATTATAATTAATATGGAAGTGCACATAAAACATATAGCTATAAATGCAACTTTCAGAAAACCTATGCAGTCTTAAATAAATCTTTGTATTTGTGGAATTGAGGATAAGTGTTTTGAATTATATGCAGTTCATTTCACTGATTTTCTAAGTGACCATTGGTTCTATCTTTTTTCACTTTTGTACTCAACAAACAAAGATAAAATATTTTTGTCAGTAAAATTTGTTTATTTTTGTGAACAGATTAGTTCAAAATCTAAAAGTAAGAAGAAACTAGAATTACGCCTTTATTTACGGGGGGGGGGGGGCTTTCGGGCTGAAGCCCTCCCAAAATGGTAAAATATAACCATGTTTTATCAAAAAAAATCTTTAAAAATGATGTCTTAAAGTATAATTATTCGTGTAATTACATTTAAAAAGGCTTTAGGAATCACTTAAATACCAGTTCATATAGCTAGTTAGTTTCTTTCTTACTTTCCAAAGTAATTATCGTTATTTTTATGAAAAAAAAAAGCTTTCGGGCTGAAGCCCCCCCCCCAAAATTAAATCCTGGATCCGCTAGTGCCTTTGAGCTAGGTATATGCTAGAGATCTTGCAGCAATGTTTTGCTAAATTCGACTAGCGGAAGTGGCACGTCACATAATCGATTTTACACATTTTTTTAAATTATAAAAATGATTCCAATAAATTTGAATTAATACGTCATTTCAGTGTGATTTAATATTAGACAGGTATTATTCTCATTGAAATTGTGTGATATGGCTTAAATGCTAAATTTTCAAAATGGCTTCCACAGTATAGCAGGGCCTTAGACATTCGATGCCCCCCGGCCGATGACATCTTTCCCTACTAAAAAAATTAAATTTATTTCTAAGCTGTTTTATACTATTTAATATTTGTATTTTATTTTATTCAATATTTCTCTGATTCAGTTGCTTTATTAATAGGATATGTATTAATATATTAATTAACCATTTCATATTTTAACCAATAAAAATGGTTAAATATACATGTAGACTATGGAAGAATTTTATAATTAACTAAAAGAGAAATAATGCATGTCAGTAGATATGCGCTATCCAACCTCAACTTAATTAATATAGACACAAAGCTTATTAAACGTGGGAGTTTTTCTAAAAGTGGGGTAAACATAATACAATTGAAGGGTAATAAAAAAAAAAAAAAAAAAACACAAATAATTTATGACTTTTTAAACGGAACTTAGCAGTGTTTATTCGCACAATAGCCCTCTTTAAAATGTTTCAACAGTGTCAAATTCTACTTATCGTTCGAATTAAATTTTTTCTTGTTTACTATGAAACAATATTTAATCACATAAATAAAATATTTTTTATGTTATCACTTCCTATTAAAAAAAAAACGTGAATCGCCTAAAAAAACACAAATCTTAAATTTCTACTTAACTGTTGAAAATTGGGCGATTGTTTATAAGAACTTTTTTGTACATCTTTAATTTATTTTCCACCCTCACATGCCACCAGGGCGATATGGGAATATGCAGTAGTGTGATGTTAAGCATTAATGTAAAATAACACACTACTGCCATAATATCAGTTTACAAAATTCTAAGCAGTGCACACAACTAGCTCTTCTACTTTTCCTCATTCTTCAGCAAATTAGGCCTGGCTTCTTGAATCCGGACGTCTTTGTGGGACTGGTCCTCTTCTCCTTCTGCGGGCACCTAGGTTGAAGTGAGCTGGACCCACCGCCGTCTTCCAGCCATTTATGAATTCTTTGTACCACGGGAAGTTTTCTTCACTTACCAACTGAGGAAACGGACGTAAATTCCCGTGGTTCTCATTAACTTAACTTTTAATCCGTGGAAAACAGGGTAGGCCGTGACCACATGCTCAACAGTCTCCGGAACACCACAAGCGGGGCAGTGGGGATCTATATCCTGTCCGAGGCTATGAAGTTTAGCTCTGAAACCCTCATGCCCCGTGTGAAACCCAATAGTCCGGAAGGATACATTTCGCTTGCAACCGAGATTCAACGGTGGGAAAGTATTTTCTTAAGGTACTGACTTTCGGAGTCGTCACCCACCGTCTGCTCCAATCTTCAATTTTTTCCTCCCGGATAATCGTTTTCCATTTATTTGGGTTTTCAATAATCCTCATCCGTAGTTTCTTCGACAGCTCTGTTGAGCTCTCCCTCTTCTAATCGTTCCTGGTCACTTCTTCTGGCAGGAGGAGATCGAGAGGCACCACCCTCATTAAGACCCGTACTGCTTCATGCGACATAGACCTACAGGTATAGCATATATCCTCTGGTGACCCGAAGCAGAGCAGTCCTCTGAGTCAACGCTAACCTATTTCTTTGTCTGAGTGTGAGGTTTCGGAACCAGAAGGGAAACGCATACCTCAGAATACCCTCCACAACACCTTTATAAATAGTGATAGTGGCTTTTTTGTACATCTTGATGTATACTATCAAGGTTTTAAATATTTCCTTCTACTTACAGGACATCCTGTAATTACATACATTCAGGAGTGCCCATCCCCCCAAGGTCGGTGGTGCAAGGAATTAACTCTTCCCATCCTCCTACCAAGATATTTTATTGCTCACCTTTTCCTAAAAACAGAGCAAGCTAAGGTATAATTCGAAAAATCGTAGATCATATACAATTACACTTGCTACGGTATGTTCCATGCTTTTACCCTTGTCCCTTGGTCCGAAAATCCATAACTCCGTCGAAATCTCTCCCCCCCCCTCAACAATTAAAAAATCTGTCAAAATATGTTCCCTTCAAAAATTTTGATGGCGCAACTTGAACGCCATGAAACCCTCTTCTGGGCACCCTTGCATATATATTTTGTCATTGCTATTTTCACTATATTTACATGTTTAATTTCTACGATTTCCTTTCATCACATTTACTATCACTATTACTATTATGTTTTCTTCTGAGAATAAAAATATATTTGTATATATTTTTTCTTTTTAGTAAGTGTAAAACAACTACTAAGAAAAAAGGCTTCTTTCAACAGATTGATATTTTCAAAACCGAAACTGCAAAGGGCACTTCGGAGGTGGATATGGTACACAATCATTATGAGGCGTGGATGGAGGTTAAGTCAGAGACCACACCCAATAGCTCTCCTTGAACATGAGGAAGTATGTGGAATTCCGCTCGCCTTTAATGACGACCGAAGCAGGGTTCAGGAGTTTGACCATGAGAAAATATAACACTATCGCTGTCATCCACTATGTAAACTCGATTCCAATTCGTATTGAATAGTACTTTTGGGTGAATAGCAATAAGAATAGCATCGAATTCTGGTTTATTATTTTCAATGTCGTACCTTCGTAGTCAGCCAAGGATAGAAAATGTACTCAAAATTTGAGGTTTGACGTTTCTTGATTCTATAGATAGTTTGAAAACTGAATAAAAATCAGTTCTATTTAATTTTCATGGATTGTAGTGCCAAAACAGCTCTGGCGATTTTGATTAAACTTACCTAAAAGTCTTCTCTTCGAAGTTCTTTAAACTATGCATATGGTATATAACTAAAAATAAATATATATATTAAAATTGAATATATAATTTAAAATTATAAATACATATAATTTAATTAAATTTTATATGTATATAACCCATAGTAGGGTGTTTGGTTACAAACAAAAAATAAATAAAAATGTACGCATGCAAAGCCGATCTTCTTTGTCTTGCACTTTTATCTATTCAAAACCATATTGAAGCATTCGAGATGGACATTTTAAGAATATATAAATCTCTATATTCATTTTAAAAGAATCTTAAACCATCAAATATTAGGAAACAATTTTTATATGGCACATTCTCTCGATGTGGTGAGGAAACTGTTGTGATGGGTCACGCACACACATTCGATATATGATTATTTGGAAATATTAAATCCTTGTGAAATGACTTGAAGCTTTTATGATATGGATCATTTCGTTATTAAAAACAATTAACTTTCCGGAAAACTAAAATTAATCCTGTCCACCCTTTAAATTTGTGATTTGTTAAATTCTAGATGAATTTCCTGTTACCAACCAGTTATGAGGTTAAATTTCTTCACAATTGTGATCTCAAAACAATAAATTTCCTAATAATCTTTCGAAAATGTTTTGTACTTATCAAACATTAGATAATACCGGGGGCCATATATGATATATGATTGGCCATATTCATATATGATTTTTATAATTATTGTATTATATGGTTTCTTTTGATTTATCATTTTCAATAACGAAAAATTTAACGCCCGCCTCTCAAAATTTGAGGTTTTACGTTTCACGTACGTAGAATTCGAAACTTTTTTGTCCGTCCGTCGTCCGCGGTTTTTCTCCTAGATTACTAGACCATTTTTTCTCAAATTTGGAATCGAAGTCAGAGGTCACCTGAGGATGATCCTCCTACCTCGGCATTACAATCCGCCCTTTCCTTCTTAGATGGCTGCCGGAAAACCAGTGATGTTATAGACTGTAGCGCCTAAACGAATGTATCAATTTCAATAAAACTCGGGTAAAGCCTTCTCATCGATGACCTTTAAATTTATCTATATGACGTACTTCAACGAAAAGAAGCTAGAAAAAAAAATTATGAGGGGTGGTCGAATTAGATTAATAGATAGTTATTTAAACGTTTTCGAGTTTTATTTAAAAAAAAAACAAAAAAAAACAAAAATCGATGAAATCAGATAATTTGGAGCGAAGATATGGTGTTCTAAATATGTTCTATTGCTTGATTATTTGAAAGTTTTATATCAACTGTAGTAATGTTGTCTACTTTTTAAAGAAAATTATCAATGATAAAATAGAGAATTGTATAGATTAATGTTAGGAATTCCTTTTTATTTATTTCATTAATGCAACATGGAAAATAATGTTAATTTTGATGTTAAACTGTTTGGAAATAACATTTGATGCAGCGTTTTTCAGTTGATCATTCAAGAGAGCATAAAGTTATTTGGAGCCCAATACTGTAAATACTTAAAGAGATATTACTATTTAATATCTTTACCGATATGATTTATACTGTCAAGTGATTTATACTGTCCTCTCCGTCTATTTCTGTATTACATGAGTGTGAGAAATTGTGTATACAAGATAAGCCAACCAATTCGGCCACAGCCTAGATTCATTGATAAAGATACCAGTTGTAAGCCCTAGGATCACTGAAGTAAGTACGGTATAGAACCGGTTGGTTAAATATTGAAACAATTGGTCCAGAAACATATGGCAAGGGGCAACAAGTTGAGACAACTTTCTAATCGGAATCACATGTCCAGCAAGCTACCACTCACGTGCAGCAGTCTCACACAAATAGGAACATACTTGTGTTTTTCTTTTATTGGAGCAATGGTTCCGTAACTGGGCAGTCATGTGCTAACCTCGGGCCCTTTCTAGGAAGTTGTAATTAATTTAACACGAACAATTCCTTCGCGGTTTGCTATTTACATACCACAACATATCATATTGATTTAAAAACCAATCAATTGCTCTCCAGTTAAAATTAGCGTTAATAACCTATGTATGTAATCGATAATTACAATGGATTATAATATAAAATTAAATATTACAGAGTTTAAAGGCGTCAACATATTTTTTAAACTTCGGATTGGAAATTAGCTTCAGAACAAGTTCCACAGTCGACCAAGATCGAGAGACATTTGGAATTTTTGCTACGATTCAATAATTTGAGTAATATTATCTGGAATTGAAATGAGAGCGGGTAGGACGAGCAGAAAGGAGGAAGGCTGAAGTAGTCGCAAGGACGGAGAACTGCTCATGAACAGTTTCATGGCCGAGTAGACTCTGGTTCGCTAGGCATTAATGGCAGGAGCAAAACTTCTTCAACCTATGTTGTTATTATGAAGTCGATGGTAGTCGAAAGATTACCATAGTGGAAACAAGGGTAGCTCTTTTTTATTTTAATTTTAAATTAAACTTGTTTATGAAAATAAATATTACAGCTATCCTTCAAGTAATTCAGACTCATTAAGAGTTGGATTACAGACAGAAATCACTAAAGGAGTTCCTGTCTAGTATGAATAATACTTTTTTTTTTAACTCGCCATCAATGTTTCTGCTTTTCTTTTGCCTTGCTCGCTTACATTTTGGTACGGAAATGATTTCAAACATCTTTAATCACATAACAGTTACTGGATTATGAAAATTAAGCTTCATTCAATCCAAAAATTATTACTTTCACTTACCTATATATTTAATGTATAGTAAGGGAAAAATTTCGAATCGTTTTGAAGGGAAACACACGTTTTGAGGTTCCTTGAGCCCAAATAACTAAGTACCGGAAAATGGTCTGTGTATATGTGAACAGTCTAGCTCAAATACGAAAACTCACACGGAACTGATATTATGTATTTAAGATAGGTGTATGACTGAGACGTTACGGCAAATTTTTGCTTAAAATCGGCTAACCGGAAGTGCCACTTTATATCAACAGTGAAACACATGATTTACGATTTTCTCAAAAATGGCTCAAATTATTTTTATTAAACTCGGTGTACCATTTTATAATTAAGTGCTCTTTAATACCATTTAGGTCTAATTCTCATTGCTGTCACTTTACAGGCCTTAAATGCCGAATGTTCATATACGTCTTCCTCTAAAGTATCTTTAATATGGTTTATATAAAAAAAACTAACTCTTTTAGTGACTGTAACTTTAAAAAATGGAAAATATAAAGTTTGAAAGAATATGATGATTTGAAACTGGAGAAAAAAAGAAAAATGCTTATTCAGATCGAAAATGAACTTCCGGAAATAATAGTCAGAAATTATACGTTTCATATATCGTTGGAAAGCACAGAATTTCAGAAAAACTGATATCAAATAAATAAAGTTGTAGAATGTAACGGAGAGTGGCGAAAAAAATATAAACAATATCACTAGCGGATCCAGGATTTAATTTTGGGGGGGGCTTCAGCCCGGAAGCTTTTTTTTTTTCATGAAAATTACGATAATTACTTTGGAAAAACAGAAAGAAACTAACTACCTATATGAAATGGTGTTTAAGTGATTCATTAAGTTCTTTTAAATGTAATTACACGAACAATAAGACTTTAAGAGGTATTTTTAAACATTTTTTTTCTATAAAACATGGTCATGTTTTACCATTTTGGGAGGGGCTTCAGCCCGAAAGCCCCCCTCCCCCCCCGTAGATCCGCCCGTGAACAATATATTCAGAAAACTAACATTATTTAACGTAAACCACATGTTTCCAAGGAAATTAAACAAAATGTTCTAAGGTAAAATTTAACAATTTTTTAAAAGTTTAAAATAAAAGTATTTAAAACCTTCCAAATCAAGGCATGGATATGTTTATAACCTTACATACATTTACTGTAGTTTAATAACTCAAGATATAATATTATATTTAAATAATTAGGTATCTATCGTCCGTTTATTTCGAAAATTCATACTGTAACTTTTTAGAAAATTAAATTTGTGAATAATTTTATAAATTTTCTCTTTGTGAAATCCCAACATTATCCACCCACAATTACTGTGATGACTTTTGATCTTTCTATGGCAGGCAATGAAAATCTAGTAATTTTAGTTTAGTAAACTTTGCAATGGAAAATCACATTTTAATAACTAATAGTCCTACAATCCATAATCATTTATAGGTTAAATATTCAAATGTACTTTAAAACTCTCAATGCATATTTATGCCTTTCAGTTGACAGAATGACTAACTCCAATTTCAACATTCTTTATTATCAATTTTATTGATGTTTCTAGTGGAAAAATTCAAACCTTAATTCACAGTCTTTATTTCAACACTGCAATCACCTTCTCTGTAATCAACTTACTCATTGTCTGTATAGATATAACTTTTCCAACTAGAAATATTACTAAATGTTGAAATTGGAGTTGGTCATTTTGTCAATAGAAACGCTCAGAGACTGAAGTTATGTGGTTTATAAAAACATACGGAGTGACTAAGATTTTTATTGCCTACTGTCGATATAATAAATAGATTTTTGTAATTTTAATGGTCATAATAATTTGTTATCTGTAATGTTTAAGCTTTAGCTCCGTTTTTAAATGCACTTAAAAAATTTAATAATATCCCAACATTGCCAGAAAATAATTTCTATTCAAAGAAGAGCAGTAAATGAAAGTTGTGTGTAGCGCGCACCAGATTTTTATACTGTATTGTATTCTAAAGAACGACAGGAATGG